GTCGTGTCGAGGGTGACGGCTTGGGTTCGAATATCGACTCGAAGGACGTTAATGAGTTTGTGGGTCGTCGTACCCATGTAGAGGTTAGGATGGACGGGTCTGACCGTCATGTGGTAGTCCCGAAGAACTACAACTTGCTGCTGAACAACAAGCAGGTGGCGTCAGCCCTGCAGGTAGGTACCTTTCCTTCTTTTTTTTTGTCATTGGATTGGTGCGATAATCGTCATTTTGCATTTTGTTTCTAACTTCTTACCTTCTCTTTTGTCAGACCCTCATCCTGGAGGTGGAGAGAGAGCGCCGTGAGAGAAAGAGGACGGGCTTTAGGAGAAGATGTCATCCAAGTATCAACAGTATCGTGCTAAGCATCGGGCGATGTCCGACATCTATCATCAGGATCCTGAGTTCCAAGTGTTTCATGAGGGGCTCAAGCAGCGGGAGGACCAGTTGGGGCGAAAGATAGAGGATTTGAAGGAGAGGGATGATGAGCTTGTGAAGGAGGTCGCCCATAATAGTGAACTGGAGGCCTCCCTTAAGGCGAAGGAGGACGAGCTCGAATTGAGCCGGGGTGATGGCTGAGAATGCCGACTTACAGCTGAAGGTGGCCGATTTGACCACCGAGTTGAGTTCTAAGGCAGCGGATATTGAGGGGCTCAAGGGCGAGCTGAACGTCGGTACCGATAAGCTAGTGGAAGCTATTTCTGAATCGGTATCTTTAGAGGATGCCCTCCGTATTTCCAGGTCAGAACTGACTAGAGAGAGGGAAGCTTCTAGTCATCAAGTTGCAAGCCTTGAAGGGCGTGTCAAGGAGTTGGAGGCGGAGTTGGCTGCATTAAAGGAGCAAATGGCCTCGCTGAGGGCAAAAGAGGAGAGTCGACGTTCTCAGCCTTCTACATCTCATGCCTCGACCGATCCGGTCGTGCCTCACCGTCTGTATGAGTTGTGGGTCCATGCGGAGGATCGACTTGATGTGTATAAGGCCTTTCATGCTGAGGGAAGGGCTACTGAGGTGGAGGTTCATGTTGTGCACGCCAAAGCTCATGCAGCTCGTAAATCATGCGGGTACGACCCCCACACCTGACGGGGGTGGTATCAACTCTGATGATGCGAATTACCTTGCTTCGAATTCGTGGTATGAAAATGCTTATCCCGCTGGGGTTGATGTGTAGACTTAGTTTGTATTTGCTTTTGTTTAGGAATTTTTGCACGGGTCGTACTTGGGCCTGTTTGAAGGGGCGAATGTAAATGATGTTTTGCTATAATGTAAAATTTACTTTTGTTGGTTCATTTTTTTTTGCATTTATCGTACACATGATGTTGTTGACGCCTTTGGCTATCTGGATGTTGCTTTGAACTGTTGTCGAAGTAGAATCCCGTCGTAGTTCGAACGAGGTCGAATTTGTATTGTCATCGATGGCCTTGGCCATTGGGATGTTGCTTCGAACTGTCGTCGAAGTAGAATCCCGTCGTAGTTCGAACGAGGTCAAACCTATATTATAGTCGATGGCCTTGGCCATTGGGATGTTGCTTTGAACTGTCGTTGAAGTAGAATCCCATCGTAGTTCGAACGAGGTCGAACCTATATTATCGTCGATGGCCTTGGCCGTTGGGATGTTGCTTCGAACTGTCATCGAAGTAGAATCCCGTCGTAGTTCGAACGAGGTCAAATCTATATTGTCATCAATGGCCTTGGCCATTGGGATGTTGCTTCAAACTTCGTCGAAGTAGAATCCCGTCGTAGTTTAAACGAGGTCGAACCTATATTGTCGTCGATGGCCTTGGCCATTGGGATGTTGCTCCGAACTATCGTCGAAGTAGAATCCCGTTGTAGTTCGAACGAGGTCGAACCTATATTGTCGTCGATGACCTTGGCCATTGGGATTTTGCTTCGAACTATCGTCTAAGTAGAATCTCGTCGTAGTTCGAACAAGGTCGAACCTATTCGTCGATGGCCTTGGCCATTGGGATGTTGCTTCGAACTATTGTCGAAGTAGAATCCCGTCGTAGTTCGAACAAGGTCGAACCTATATTGTCATCGATGGCCTTGTCCATTAGGATGTTGCTTCGAACTATCGTCGAAGTAGAATCCCGTTGTAGTTCGATCAAGGTCGAACCTATATTGTCGTTGATGGCCCTGGCCATTGGGATGTTGCTTCGAACTGTCGTCGAAGTAGAATCTCATCGTAGTTCGAACGAGGTCGAACCTATATTGTGGACATTTGATCGTATTCCCATAGGAAGACGTCACATGTCGACTAGTGGAGATCTAGTTCTGCACATACAATGGAGATTTGGTTCCATAAATTCAATAGAGATTCGATTCTATACATATAATGGAGATTTGACTATCTATTATTTAGTCCCTTCATTGCTTCGATCCGTAGGTCACGTTCGACGGGTTGAGGTAATGAACAACATGTCGATCCCTAAAGCGTCCCCCTTGCCGCCTCGTTAAAAACCTCCCCAGGAAAATCCAATTGGGACAACACTCGGGTAAGGGAAAAAGAGTACGACTTTAGGTGACGCCTTCTTTTAGAAGTGGAAATACTTGAGATAGGCGATGTTCCAGTTGTTTTGGAGTAGTTTTCCCTCCATTGTTTCAAGCTGGAATGCTCATTTGTTTGCTGCCGCTACGATTTTGTATGGTCCGTCCCAGTTTGTTCCCAATTTTCCCTCATTAGGGTCTTTTGAAGCTTGTGTCTTAGCCTTGAGGATGTAGTCTCTGACTTTGAGCGGTCGTTCCTTGGCTCTTTTGTTGTAGTATCTTTCTACTTGCTGCTTCTAGGCTACCATTCTTATGTGGGCCATATCTCTTCGATCTTCAATTTCGTCTAGGTTTTGTAGCCTGCTTTCGTCATTGCCTGTTTCGCTCTCGTTGGAGTATCTCAAACTGGGCTCCCCGACCTCGACGGGTATAACTACGTCGGTCCCATAGACCAGTGAATATAGCGTTTCTCCTGTGCTGGTTTTCGGTGCAGTGTGGTATGCCCATAATACTTCTGGTAATAGCTCAGGCCATAGCCCTTTAGCTTCCTCGAGCTTCTTCTTTAGTATGTTATATTACCTTATTAGAGGATTCCGCTTGACCATTGGCGACAGGGTGGTATGGCGTGGAGAGTATTCACTTGATGCGCCACTTTGAAAAACTCAATCGTTCTTTTTTCGACGAACTGAGGTCCGTTGTCGTAGCTGATTTCTTTGGGGATGCCAAAATGACATATAATGTTTTTCCATATGACGGCGATGACCTACTGCTCGCGTATCTGAGTGTATGTACCTGCTTCAACCCATTTAGAGAAATAGTCAATTAAAACCAAAAGGAAGCGTACCTTACCTTGTCCTGCTGGGAGGGGGCCGACTACGTCCATTCCCCATTTTATGAATGGCCATGGCGAAGTGACATAGTGAAGGAGTTCCCCTGCTTGATGTATCATAGGGGCGTACCTCTGACATTGTTCACATCTTCTGACATAGTTGGCAGCTTTGTTTTTCATGGTGGGCCAGTAGTAGCCAATGCGGATAAGGCATCGAGCAAGGGCGCGATTTCCCGTATGGGCGCCGCAGTGCCCTTCGTGTATTTCTTCCAGTACTCTTCTTATTTGATGTGGTCCAAGACATTTGGCTAGGGGGCCACCGAATGTTCTTTTATAGAGATCACGATTTACTAGGTTGTACCGTACTGCCTGTACCCAGAGTTTTTTGGCTTCTTTTTTATCTTGCGGGAGCGTTCCATCCTGCAAATAGGCCACAAAGCAGTTACGCCAGTCCCAAGTTAAGTTTATAGAATGTACCTCGGCATGGTCTATTGCGGAATGAAGGAGGGTGACCATGTTTTCTTTGTTGATATTCCTGGTGGCCGCAGCTAGTTTGGCGAGGCCATCTGTTTCAATATTCTATGCCCTAGGTACTTGGTCGAAACGGCATTCGTCGAATTCTGGCAGTAGTTTGTGAATTTCCGACTGGTATCTTTGTAGCCTCTGTTCTTTGATTTAGAAAGTCCCGGTGACTTGATTCACAACGAGTTGAGAGTCATATTGAAGGACGAGTCGTCGGGCGCCGTATTTGAGGGCTAACTTCAAACCTACAATCACAGCTTTATACTCAACCTCGTTGTTAGTCATCTGGGGGAATCATATGGACTGGCGAATTACTTCACCCATAGGGACCTTGAGGATGAGTCCCAGTCCCTATCCTGAGGCAGTAGAGGCACCATTGGTGTAGAGGATCCAGAGGTCGGTGTGTGTAGGAGCGCGAAGCGCTTTTTGTTCTACCTCGGGCAATATCTCCGTGTTGAAATCAGCGATGAAGTCGGCAAGCACTTGCGACTTAATAGCGGTTCGCGATTGGTATGTTATGTAATGTTCACTTAATTATATGGCCCATTTGGCAAGTCTACCCGATAGTTCGGGCTTGTGTAGGATACCCCTCAAGGGGAAGGTTGTTACCACTTTTATGGGGTGACACTGAAAATATGGTCTAAGCTTCCGTGAAGCGACGACTAGTGCCATAGCTAGCTTTTCAAGGTGAGGGTACCTTGTCTCGACATCGATTAAAGTTTTGCTGATATAATAAATTGGAGATTGCGTACCTTTATTTTCATGGACCAAGACTGCACTTACTACGACCTCGGAAACTGCTAAATACACAAGTAGACACTTACCTAGGTCTGCTTTGATGAGCAATGGTGCCGAGGACAGATATGCTTTCAGTTTTCTCAGGGCGTCGATACATTCCTCATTCCATTGCAGCCTGTGGTCTTTTCTTAACACATTGAAGAATTTGTGGCATCTGTCCGAGGATCGTGATATAAACCTTGATAAGGCGGCTATTCGCCATGTTAGCTTCTGCACCTGCTTTTTGATGGTCAGTACTTCTGGTATTGCGTCGATGGCTTTGATTTGATCCTGGTTGATATCGATTCCCCTTTGCGACACGAGGGAGGCAAGGAATTTTCCTGAGGTTACACTGAAGGCGCACTTCTCGGGATTCAATTTCATCCCGTACTATTTTAGTAATTTGAAGGCTTCTTTTAGATGGCCGATGTGATCCTCCTTCTTTGTTGACTTTACTAGCATGTCATCGATATAGACTTCCATGGTCTTGCCGAGCTGCTCTTTGAACATTTTGGTGACTAACCTCTGATACGTGGCCCATGCGTTCTTCAGTCCGAACGACATCACTTTATAGCAGTACATTCCTTGGTGAGTGATGAAAGTCGTCTTTTCTTGATCTTCTTCAGCCATTAGAATCTGGTTATAACCGGAGTACGCATCCAAGAAGCTCAGTAGTTCGTGCCTCGCTGTTGCATCGATAAGTTGGTCGATGTGAGTTAGCGAGAAGGAGTCCTTTGGGAATGCTTTGTTCAAATCGGTGAAGTCGACACACATTTGCCACTTCCCATTCTTCTTTTTTACCATGACCACATTGGCGACCCATTGGGGGTATTTCGATTCTCTTATGGAACCGTTGGCGAGTAATTTATCAATTTCTTCGCTGACCGCCTCAATGATTGGGCATTGAATTTTCTCCTCATTTGCCGTACCGACGGATAGAGTGGGTCGACATTCAGTCTATGAGTGGCGATGTCCTTTGGGATTCCTGGCATATCTGAGTGGGAGAAAGCAAATAAATCGGCGTTGTCAGTTAAAAATTCACGATACTTACCTGGTTCCGAGAGGTTGTGTCCTATATAAGCCTTTTTTGTGCTGTCAGTGTCGTCCAATTGAACGGGGTCAAGATCATCTATAGTTGCCTTGCAGGCTTCTACGATATTCGGGTCTTTGATGGCCTCTGTTTGTAGGTCGGGTTTAGTTCCTGACATGGCTGATTGCTATGCCTCCTCACTTGCTCCTTTCAATTGTTTGGTGTGTGTGCAATCTTGGGCGATCCGGTAGCATTCTTGGGTGGTGCGTGGCTCGCCTCGGATGCTAAATATCCCCCATGGGGTGGAAAATTTGATCACTTGATAGAAGTTTGAGGGGACGGCTCGCATGATGTGTATCCATGGTCACCCTATGATGGCGTTGTAGGCTGTTTCTTGATTCATGAAGTGGAATGGTGTTTCCAAGGTGACCCCTCCTGCTAGGACATGTAGCACTATTTCTCCGGATGTCCGCTTTACTGCATTATTAAAACCCGTTAGTGTTATGCAACACGGTATTATTTTATCCTCGAGCCTCATTTGCACGAGAACTCACGGGTGAACAATACTCGTGCCGCTTCCGTCATATACCATGATTCTTTTTACATCTGTATCAGCGATGCGTAAAGTTATAACCAAAGCATCATAGTGAGGGAAAGACAAAACGTCGGTATCTGACTTTTCGAAGACGATACTATCTTCGAGGTCGTCATATCGTTCGTGGGCGACTATCCGTTTTGAGTTTGTGCGTGGTAGTGAACTTCATATGGTTGATTACCATATCATCGCCGTCGCCAATGATCATTTGTATGGTTCGTGCCGATGATGGTGGCTTTGAAGGTCCTTGAGATGGGTCGCGTCCTCGAGCGAAGTTGGCTCTTCCTTTATCATTCAGCAGTTCTTTCAGGTACCTTTGGTTCAACATCCTAACTACTTTTTGCCACAGACCTATGCAATCCTCGGTCTTATGTCCTGTTTCTTGGTGGAATTTGCAAAGGACGTTGGACCTCCTGGTGCTTGGGTCCGATTTCATTTTTGCGGCCACTGTACCTTCATGCCCAGCTTCTCTAGTGCGTACACTATCTCTGAAGGGGAAACACAAAAATTATGAGCAGATAGTAGTGGAGACATACCTCTTTCGCTTCGGAGGGGTGTAGTGTGCCGTGGCACGGTGTCCGCATGTCGTGGAGGGGGCGGGATGGATGTACGGCCATAGGGCTGATGCCTTTCCCGGTTGAAATGTGGTGGTTGATCTCTTCGCCCATTGTTACGTCGATCTCTCCTTGTCTCGGTTTGAACCGATGTTAGTCGCTGAAGCGGCCCGTTCAGGTCGTCTTCATCCGCCCTTACCTAGGCACAGTAGGCATTGTGGATTTCTTCCTATGTGGTAGGGGGTACTTCATGAGTCTACAGAGCAGTTGTTTGGTCGCCTTTGATCCGTTCCTGTTTAACCCGTTCTGAAAGGCTGCTACTGCCATCCCTTCTAACACGTTCGACAGACTCATCCTTACTCTGTTGAATTGGGCCAGGAAATCCCGAAGTCCCTCGCCCGTCGTTTGCCTGACGACGAAGATATCAGTGACCCTAGCTTCGGCCTTCTTCGCTTCTGCATGGGCGGTGGCGAACTTATCTGCCATCTCTTCGAACGTCGATATTAATCGCGCAGGTAGCTGGGAGTACCATGTCAATGCTCCCCTTGTCAGAGTTTTGCCGAACTTCTTTAACAACATAGACGGTACATGTACTTTTGATAGATCATTTCCCTTTACTGTAGTAACATAGTGGATTAGGTGATCCTCCGGGTCCGTGGTCCCGTCATATATTTTTAAGTATGGTGGCATCTTGAAGGTCTTTGGAATAGGATGAGGAGCATCCCCTTCGCTGTATGGCTGTTCGACGTATCGGCCCACGTCGCATTTTGGTAATAGCTTCGGAGCACCCGGTATTTTATCAACCCTCTCCTGATGTTCCTTCATTTGGTCACGGAGCGTTTTATTCTCATTTTCCATGTCTTCCATTTTCTTCAAGATGGCCATGAGCGCATCGTCACCTGCATTAGTAATAGTACGGGTGTTACCTGCTCGTGTAGTGCCTGGTTCATCGACGACAGCTGTGATTTCTGTAGGTGGCACGTCTTCGACATCTCCTTTGAGTGGGTTTCTCGGGCATGTTGCTCAAAGCACTCGTTAGCCATTCTTCTAGTAGTCTTTTGACTGTTGGTGGGTGTGAGCACGTGATTTTTGCCTCACAAGAACTACTCCAAAAGAAATCAGAAATAATTTTTCTTTGTATGCAATTTTTGAATTCTCGTGGCATTTCGTCTGTGCATGTTCATTTTATTCTAATTAAGAAAAAATACAAAAAAATGGTAATGCAGATGCATATGCATTCAGGAATTAATATTGCATTTTTAGA